AAAACTTGAATGATGCCCAACTTCCACGCTAATCATAACCTCGTTCCCATGGTCTCGCATCTTCCCGCCCCCTGGAGTGAGATCTTTTCTCGTCATACGATGCCATAAGAGAACATTTGACAGAAAACCTGTCAAGCTGTGAAGTTGTTTTGCAACCCGAAACACTTCCGGCCGGAAGTTTCGTCGGGAGATTTTTCGCGTCTCTTGTAGTTTTATCTTGCACATTGTTGATTTCACTTAAAAAAAAGCGTATGAAGATATATCAGAAAGTACATAACCAAGACAATCGAATAAGAAAGCGGTATTTAATTATTACATTGGCATGACTACGTTATTCACTATTCCGAGGTTTCCAAAGCCAATTATTTATTATTTATTTTTAACTTAAACCCGTTATTCGTTATTCAGTTTCCACCACCGATTGTATTGAACCCAATTGCGTCAGTATTAATATTGACAAAAGAGGGGATGGACATGGAGGGTACAAATATGAACTGAATAATGTTACTCACGAAGGACACGAAAAAGAATTGATGGGTGATGAAAATTATTTTTACCATTCATCTGAGGTAGATATCCCTCAAAATTTAACTCATAATATAGTAATCTTTTTTATTGTTTCCTCCAACAAATTTCATATGCACTGGTTTGGCATTAACAGTAAATAACAATCTTATTGTTACATCTGTAACGGGCGAAACAACAGCTCTTGCTTTTGTAATCTTAAGGCATTAAGGAGACATTGCCCGGAGTTGGAAACGCTTTTTCGGAAATTATGATAAACTAGAAGTTAGTGATGAAAGAATCCGTCAGATTTGACAATTATCTGCAATGATGACGACAAAGACATTAATGGTGACGGAGTAGTGGAAGATGATGATATTTATTTTCCTTTTGTCGGAGCAATCGTGTTCAAAATCCTTGCAAGAACATCGGCACTTGTCTAAGCAGATTTACTGAGAAAGGTTATCGGTGTCTGTATCTTACTGGATTTATTTTCCTTTTGTCGGAGCAATTGTGTTCAAAATCCTTGCAGGAACATCGGCACTTGTCTAACCAGATTTACTGAGAAAGGTTATCGGTGTCTGTATCTTACTGGATTTAAAGATCCACGCTGTGAAACAGGTGAAAAGGCTTCTGTGAATTTTCTAGCTTCATTTTAATAGCTGTGATAAAAGAATTGCAATTTTTAAAATGATCGTTTAATTCTTTGAACTGTAGAACAAGGTCGATAAGTCTCAGATCTTAGTTACAACAGATCGCTAGATTATCATGTACGACTGTTCAACCGCAAGAAAACACATTAAATTAACATTCATTTAAGACAAGTGGCGTGTAGTAAAACTATGTGACCCAATTTCTGAAAACAAAAAACAGATTTAATGACTGTAGGACAGGCTGACTGATAAGCATATATGATCTTATTGCTGTTGCTGATGAGGCTGTTGTATCTTTTTCTTCTTTCTTTCGACAGACATCGATGAATGTGTCCTAGGGTTACCCAAATGCAGCTCTGACGCATATTGCATCAATACAAATGGTTTGTTCTACTGTAGATGTAAACCTGGACTCACTGAAAATAGCACAGAATGCAAAGGTAAATGTTTGTCTTAAGAAAAAAAATATAAATTAAGTTTGATAAAAAGCTTTAGGTGAAGCTGGGCTTTAGATGAAGCTTTTTTTAGTGGTTGGGGTTAGTGATTATTGATTTTTTTCCTCCTATGGAGGACTCGTTTGTCGGAGTGACATTCCGAAAATTTAACCGCTAACCGTCAAATGACCTGAAATTTAACCGTGAACCATCAAAAGGGCTTTTTTTTAACCGTCATCCTGACCCCCCACCCCCACCCATCGAGACCCTCTTATAACAAAATGTATAATCATGACTCAAACCTGAAATCGAGTCTTACCAGGATAAATCTTGCCTACGATCAAGTGATAGGAAAGAATGAATACTACACAAAATTAGAAACAGAATAGTAAATAATTAAAAAAAAAATGAATAAAATTAGAAACAGAATAGTAAATAATTAAAGAAAAAAAAAAAAAGAATGAATAATCGAGGTCCCACTATTCCAGGTAATTAAATGTGTGTACGATACGGTAGTATGGAAAAAGCACAGATTATGAAGTCACCGTTAAACGGGGCGAAGTGGGTGTCCAGACCAGAAATTCATTCTGGGCTGTTCAGAGAAAAACTAGCATGTAAGAGGTTTAAGGAGGCTGGATTAGTTTTTTTGGCGCGCACAGACTGCGTTCTAATTTACCCGGGACTTTTAAAACTTGCGAAAAAGAAAAACACAAACAAACAAACATGGCCGCTGCGCTTAGGCCAGAATCATTTTTTCATCTGCCTAGTAGACTATGCTTTACGCCTCTAGGTGGGCTGCCTACACTTTCTTCTAACTTTATTAGTAGTGTGTTTCAAAAACGGAAAGCTACAACACTCTCAGGTGACCAAAATACGCGTGAATCCGGCCGCAAACACGATTGCGATCGTCGGAACTATTTTCCCATATCGTGGCTGGTTTCCGGAACACTAAATAGGTGCTACCTACATGCAATATCAGCAGCTACGTTTCTCGTGTAAACAAGTCACTGTCAAAACTGTGAATGGTGAGAGAACTTTGCTCAAAGAGAATGTTCCAGTACACTCCTGAGCGAATGTCTTCAATCTTTTACCACTTTCCTTTCCAGCAGTACGCATTGTCACACCGTTTTAATTTGCCATAATTCTTCTGTATTCGACACTTCTACACTCCCATGATGTGCTGGAAATTCAAATAAAGAAACATTATCGTCGAAGAAAGTGTTTTTCGCCGATAGCCTTACACTCATCAAAACACTCGCTAAAGGTGGTAACGCTCTTCTCAATCCTGACGGAAAACCATGTAAAAGCAATCTCCCTTCTGTGTATCAAGCTGTTTTTTTATGAAGATTTCAACGCACACGATGCTTTGGAAGATGTACGTTCCCTCCACTGTGTCCTCTTTCAATCCCCGTTGCAGCTAACAAGTGCTGACATTGTAAACAACAGGATGTGAAATCCACTTCCTTCGCTTTCGTAGACATGGACTTTCTTGACGGACGCCACGAACGCATGTAAGCTTTAAAAGACAAGCTCTATTCACAGGGCGATAACGGGCTCCTCGTCAAAGAAAACATCATTCAGAAAATTGCAGAAAGCGGTCTGTGTTACGGTGACTTAAAAGATTTTTACAACGACGGTAGGAAGGAAGCACTGGTCTCCATTCTTAGCAAATCGCCAACCACATCGTGTCGATCAGCTCCAAGAGGAACAAAACATCCCGACACTTTGCACAAAAAAATCCAGCACTTTGAAGGTAAATAGAGCAGCAGCCATTTCCAGGCGCAATCCACCCAGAAGGTGAATCTCTCTTAGCAAAATAAAGCTCTTTAGATGAGCGCGAAGGACGTTCGGCGAAGACGACGTGCAAAACCTTGTGGCGTCCGTGGCAAGTGTCGAGGCGTGACACAAATGTTGCGCATCCGCAGTTACCCATCTTGTCGAGTCGAAATTTTCGGAAATTTCAAACTTTAGACAAACGTATTTCCGTTTCCGCTCGGTGAATTCTTTTTATTTTTTGCATGTTAACTTTGAACGGCTCTGTGCGTGTTTTACAAAAATTCGAAAAAATTCTGTCAGAGGGCAAAAAAGTTAACGATGAATTCTAAAAAAGGCCTCTTTTCCTTAAACTTTCTGACAGAATTTTTTTAAACTTAACAGTCAAGTAGACCAAGACAGTCAAAGGACGCATGCAAAATCTAAAATAAATTCACCGTCCAGTTTTTAAGAAAATTCAAGTCAAGTCTAATTTTGGACCCAGCTTTGCAAGCCAGCAACATTGCCATGACAACGAATTTTTCAATATATTTACAACAAACTGATTCTTCAATAATATCTTTATTTCAGGGGAAAATGTGATCGCGATTCATTAAAGCTAAGCTTCGTAATTTTAGTTMAAATATCTTGCATCAGAAAAGTGAAAAACTATATCCAGCCTCCTTGAGGAAGATAATTTTTATTGAAAGAGGCAACATTACTTACAAATTTTTCTTCACGGAGACTCAAAGATTGAAATATTGCGTGACAGACCGTAAGCTCACAAGCTGCATTCGACCGAGGATACTTTAAATAGCCTTACTCTCTGGGAATAGCGTAAAAAGGATGAATAGGACGTGCGATAATGGTCAATTGGCCTCACCAAAATGACCTAAAACATGGTTGAACCGATTGCACAATACTGGAGTCTCCCCCAAAATAACGAATTTCCTTAAGATTAACAAAATGGCTCCAGACACGCGCCATTGCAGTTATGTTGTCATATTTACAATGATTACACTAAATGTTGTAAAATCCGTATTTTTTTTTAACTATTTTGCCTCACTCCACGATTCATTCTCGAGAAGTTAGCGCCACACCATAGATTTTGTTTTGTTTTGTTTTTTCTACCAGGATTTTTCAATATTTTTTTTCTTTTTGTCTATAACTAAGGTCAAATTACAACGATTATACAAAACATAGTTACGCTCAAGCTAAAAAAGTCAATTGCATAGCGACAAGTAAAATGATGTTTTTTTGTTATTCTTTTAATGCACCAAGATGTATCCCATGGCTTTAATGCCCTTTTTTCCGTTACCTCTTGAGGAACTTGCTGTGTTGCCGCACGAGATCGAGTAATAAGGCCACCCTCCGGTGCCAAATCCTATCCTTGAAGTGTATGCGGAACAATTGTTGCGGTTGTTGCCAACAATGCCAATTCTGGCCTTTGCACCGCCTTTTCTCCAACTAAAATCTGCATTGAAACCTTCCTTATTGCAGTTCTGTTGCAAAGAAGCGTCTGAACCAATCAGCGATATCCACATGTCGCGACCCAGTGATGTGCTGCGATATTTTCCGTCAGCGATCAGTGCGAACAGAGAGTCGGCGTGCTTGTCGATAACAATGAACTTGAGCTGTTGGTCGATCTTCATGCCGAGACAGATCTTGGAGAAGGATGTATTCCAGTATGTAGGTAGCTTTGTTTCCTGCTCGTCAAAACCAGTTTGTCCCCCAGTAGGGTTGAATTCATTATAATCACTCCAGTAACGCTTATTGTAATGAAAGGTTATCTGGAGTAAAAGCAAACATATGTATATCCTTTTTTTATTTCTCCAAAATAATTTATGACCTTAACTACGATTAAAACAATTTATGCTTTAAAGAGAGGTCTTGATTAGAACGAAAGCCCTCTTCAGATCACTTGATCCAAATAGGCAGTATAGTATTATTGTACATAAATTGTAGAAGTTAAATTAGTTCCGAATTTTTTAGATTAATGTGTCATTTCTGCAATTCATTAATTATTTTTCATAGAGGGAAAGGGTGTATTAGTCTAAGAAAGTGTTTGACTTTATGAAGTCAAGAAATCGGACCTCTTATAATATTCCTACGCCATCCAATCAGGTACTCTTGACGCCAGGTAAAGGCGGTTATTATCAACCAACAGAGATGTATCCTATCTTAATTCCAGTTCGTAAATATCTCGGTTAAATTTTAAAGTAGCACATATAATAGCAACGTGCGTAACAAAAATAGACTTGAAATATATACATTTCTGCCGTCAATCTTCATAACCGGCGTCCATCCTCCATTTCCACATCCAAAATCTCCCATGTGGCAAAGAACAGGGACTGGTTGGGAGTCAACAAAAAGGGTAACCACAATGCTCATGTTGGCCCCTCTGGATTAGAAATGACAACAAATATTACAACTAAAGACAAAATGAGGATGATAACAATGAGAGCGATTATGATGCTAACGGTAATGAAGACAATGGTGATGTCAAAAAATGATAAATGAATAAACAGAGATACAACTAAATAAGCAAATAGAGATAATGTATTTGGATAATAAAAGGAAACAAATGCATAGAAACTAAGTGAACTGTTAGGTGAAACGTAATTTAAATAAATAAAATTCCTAACTTATTTATAATCATTAATCAAATCTTATTTTAAATAGAAAAGTTTCAATAAGCTAACGTTTATCTTTTGGTAAAATGCGTCTTCCATCATTACGCTGCGTTACATAAAAGGGGAGAAGTAAGCCTCCATTTAGCGAGAGAGCGTGCTCGGCTATTCGTCCGAGGTCACTATTTGTTCCACGGAGAAAAACCTATGCGACTGCAAAGCAAGTGTTTGTTTTACCCAAGCAATAATGTTCGACAGTTAATGAGCAATTTATCTACATATATATCCTTTTTGACTTACTTGATGTTGTTGTAGATTTCATTACAAGAAGTAACTCCTGGGAAAAGTGAGAAAAGTATCGTTCGTTAAGAGATTTGTAAGGTTTTTTTGTATTAAAGCTTAATTCATTTATTAGACGTTATATTTAACAATATTCACCGAAGGCGAGGTGAATATCGTCGAATAATCCCCGAGACGAAGTCGAGGGGATTGTTCGACAATATTCACCGAACCTGAGGCGAATAATTGTTTTAGTGTAATTTCAAAACTGAAAAACAGAGAAATTTATAAAATTATAACATTTTAGTAACATTTATTAACATTTTATTTTAACATCATATATGAACCGCGTGGAGTGGTAGCGTCATATTAGGAACCGCTGACCAATGAGATTGCTGGAAACTCTTTGCTCAGCTCTGAAATTATACTAATATCTCTTATAAGATGTCCATTCAGTTGCCCTTAATACTTGTAGGAAGTTGCTACTTCAAAGGTAGCTGAACCCGCTGCAACTTTCTCCTGAAATACTTGCGGCACAGAATTAAACTCCTTGGAATCCGTTTTAAACTGTGAAGGCGCATTTGATTTCAAAATTGGCCAAAAAAGATTTAAAGCTTTATCTTTCTTTTGCTACGCAATAATATATAGGCTTCTTAGAAATAAACTCTTAAAAATTTTCTCTTGATGTATTTCAGATCATATTTTCTTCTTTGCCTACTTTTAAGCTAAATCGCTTTTAGCTATTGGCTGTAATGTCATCGTGCCAGTACATAGTGGGGCATAGTAAATAATTCCAATTCGCTAAGCAGTTGTGAACAGCTCGTTAATCTTTAAGTATTGTGTATTTGTGGTAATGGTAACTAGATCCGGGACCCTCGGAGTAGGTTGACGTGTGCAGAAGAGAATATGGCGGTTTTATACTGACTTTGTGTCCATTTCTTTGTGTTACGGATACTACAGTAGTGGATGATACGATTCATGACTGAGAAAATACAAACTGCTTTTCAGGAAAAATGTCTCATTTGATATCCTCTGTTTACGGTTAAGTTCAGTTAGATCATTTGTGATGTTTACGTGACACTTGGCACCAGGAACGTTCCGTCAAAGGCAATACCGAGCCAACTCAGCTTGTCGAAAAACAGTACAACTCGTAAAAATACTGAGCGAAACCTCGCACCAAGGCATATAATAAAATATATTTATTTGACCAAAGCTATTACTTTTGCATTCTTGTCCATTTCCTGTAAATCCAGGTTTACATGTACAGTTGTAAGACCCGTTGGTGTTGTTGCAATAGGCATTAGGACTGCAATTGTGTAAACCTGTGACACATTCATCTGTGTCTAGAAAAATGGCATCAAATGAAGTTAGATAAAACAACAAAAATAACAAAAACAACAATTAATCTGCTATTCCGTTCGTTTATAGTTTGAAAATATAGTTTACTAATTTCTGTACTTGATTTTTATCAAGAAAACTAGTTGCTCAGAAATAGACAAGCTACCTTTCCGTTCACAGAAGGTATTGGACTGGGATATGAGGCGCCAAAGTGGACAAAAATGCCGTTTAGCAATTTTTCTTTGCAATTATATAAATATGTTCTAAACTCAAGATTTTTGTCCTCAGTTTACATATTAGATGCTAACTTAGTGAAATATTCATGCTCTTTTTCCCATTTATTTTCTAAACTCTTCAGTTGCATTCTAATTGCGAAGAAAATGCGTTACAAGTACGGAAAAAGTTATTCTAATTGAAATGTTTTAGATGTTCTAATGTTCTTATTACATTATATTTTGAAAAAAAAAAAGTATGCTAGTATTGTTCTCTTCATGCCAAGTTTGAAAAAAACTCTGCTCATAAGAATGAAAAATTATCCTATTCTCAGTCCGAAAATACATGGCAATTGCAAAAAATACATGGCAATTGCAAAAAAATACATGGAATTGAATAAAAAAGCGTTCTAATTAGTATGAAAATTATGCCAAAAGCATCTTAGGCGTTGAAGGTGGATTTCGCGCCAAACGTTCGCCATTTTTCTTTAGGTCGATTGAGTTATTAATGGCGAGAAACGGGAACTTAACGTCCGATCTGCGGGAAGCTATTATCAAAATCAATGAAGTTGGTCGACGTCTGGCTCCGCCGACTTCAAATCCGTTTGAAGAATTATCAACATGGAGCCATGAAGTTCCACACGTAAACAGACCGAATGACTAAACCTTTCCTCTCCAACTGTAATTGGGCACTATGAGTCGGTACCCTGTTGTGCTTTGGGTTGGGAATGAGTACTATGTCTCTGAACACAGGCTTCCCTTTCTTGCAGTTCGCGTTCGCTTTCGGCGTTTGACGTTTTCGCTTCTTTCCGCCACGTAAAGTAAGATGTTCAGCAGGACGAAAAGATGATGGGCTAGCCTGCTCATTTAAACGCTTGAGTGTTGGGAAAAGTCTCTGAAGCTCATGGTTTACATTCCCCGATGGAGCGATGGATTGAGGGTCGCTCACCTCACTGTTTACGGTCGGTCTGTTTACGTGTGGAACTTCATGGCTCGATGTTGATAATTCTTCAAACGGATTTGAAGTCAGCGGAGCCAGAAGTCGACCAACTTCATTGATTTTGCTAATAGCTTCCCGCAGATCGGACGTTAAGTTCCCGTTTCTCGCCATTAATAACTCAATCGACCTAAAGAAAAATGGCGAACGTTTGGCGCAAAATCAACCTTCAACGCCCACGATGCTTTTGGCATAAATTTGCATACTAATTAGAACGCTTTTTTTCAATTGCCATGTATTTTTTGCAATTGCCGTGTGTTTTTTGCAATTGCCATGTATTTTCGGACTGAGAATAGGATAATTTTTCATTCTTATGAGCAGAGTTTTTTTCAAACTTGGCATGAAAAGAACAATATTAGCATACTTTTCTTTTTTCAAAATATAATGTAATAAGAACATTAGAACATCTAAAACACATTTCAATTAGAATAACTTTTTCCGTACTTGTAACGTATTTTCGGATCATTCACGGTTTCCGGGAAACGAGCCCAAAAGCACCTGATCAAAAACGACCACGATTCCTCGTTTTGCCAAGCTTCGACATACGAGCCTCGATTATCCAATCGAGCCTCGATTTTGCAATCGTGCCTCGATTTTATAATCGAGGCTCGTATGTCGAAGCTTGGCAAAACGAGGAATCGTGGTCGTTTTTGATCAGGTGCTTTTGGGCTCGTTTCCCGGAAACCGTGAATGATCCGTATTTTCTTTACAATTAGAATGCAACTGAAGAGTTTAGAAAATAAATGGGAAAAGGAGCATGAATATTTCACTAAGTTAGCATCTAATATGTAAACTGAGGACAAAAATCTTGAGTTAAGAACATATTTATATAATTGGAAAGAAAATTGCTAAACGGCATTTTTGTCCACTTTGGTGCCTCATACTGGGAAGCAGTCACATTTGCACTATCTCTTTCGTCCACTAAGTATTGGAGGTTCAATTAGATAACTGCTTGCACGTGGCAGGCGTAGTCGTTTTTGGTTTAATACTACCCCTTCCATTCGATGCAGATTAGCTTAGAAAGACATCGAAGGATACTGTAGTAAAATTTAAAGCAGTGGAAATTTGAAAATACTATCTGTGTATTCTGTTGATAGACAAACCTTAAAACAAAGTGATTTTGTACTTCTTTTTCAACCGATTTTGATAAACTGCTGTGATTCAGTTACTAGTCTCTATAAAGATCAGCACAGGGACTTTGCTTACCTTCACTGCACCTTGGACCACTGAATCCAGCCATACAAAGACAGCGATAGCCTTCGTCTGTGAATCCGCTTTGACATCTAGCGTTATTCTTGCAAGGATTTTTGACACAGTAGCTCTGACATTAAAACGATGATCGTCATCACTGTCAAGTCATTTTCATTTTCAAATTCATCGCTATTAAATCATTAGCTCTGGGTGATTTTCCTTTTAATCAAATATTTGGTTAGTGCCCACATGCATTCTATTTGCATTCTATAAAAAGACAAAAAAAGTGAGATCATAACTGAAACAAAAAGACTAGCAGGACCAAAGCGTTACATTTGGACAACAGCAAAGAAAAGAGAGGTAGATCTGGAGTTAACCGAAGGAAAGCTTAGAGTACTTGTATTCAACCAACATACTGCACTGACTTCGATGCGATAACACAGAGTGGTAAAGGATACACAGAAACTTTACAAATTAAGGCAGTAAAGTTGAGTCAAATTAATTTGGCATGTTCACACAATAATGATTATCAAAGAGAACATAGAAGAGAGGCCTTTCCCAAATGAGAGAAGCACTGTCTAAGCTCTAATTTTAGTACATCATGTAAAGAAAAGTGTCAGGAAGAGGAAAGAACGTTTGATTTGAAATGATCATTACCTCAGCTGCATGGTAAAAAAAATCTTTGTGGTCTGTCAAATGGTGTTCGTGTCCTTCGTGAGTAACGTTATTTAGTTCACATTTGTATCCTCCACTTCCATTCGCTCGTTTATCAAGATTAATGCTGACACAGTCGGGCTCCATGTAACACACATTCTCACAAAACCTGGCAACCGTTACCTCTACGATGCGAATCGTGTGGTTCATGAGACGTTTCCCTTCGAAAGCTCTTTCAGGACTGAACTCCAAATTACGACATTGGCCTGCGATGGAACATTCTTTAAAACAGAAGTAATAATTGAATTGAGTGTATTGCCAAGAAGATATTATGTTAGAAATAATAACATTCACTTTTAATTTATGGAAAGGTAGTCTTGAAGTAAATCCAAGCGTTCTGATTGGTTCTTACTTGGTCGGGATTTTCCCATATAGACCGTTTCCACGGAAACGGTAATTAGTCCTGTATCCTAGTTCTCGAAAGCAGGAAAACTCAAAATAAATAGCTTTGTTAGAAGAGCAATAATCTACGCAGCAGCCTTGCGTGTTCGATCCGTACTGGAGAATAGTGGCCCTTGGTCGTTTTTGGACCTATTTGTATAGACCTCGCTACGCTCCGTCTGCACTGCTACGGCCTCTGGCCAATATCACCGAGTACGGCCTTCGCGCTCGGTTAAGAATCAAGTATTTCGAGAAGGACAAGCTTCCACGAGTTTGAAACAAATTTCTCAGCATTAAATCATTCTTTGCCACATTATGGAAATTATATTTCCTGACCTTTTGAAATAAGAACTAAAATTCGTTAAGACGGTTTTGCCAATAATACTGAATTCGTCATTTTTCTAACTATATTCGATTGACTCTGACAGATTGTAACAAAATAGGCTTATTGATAGGAACTGTGGGTGGTTAGGACTGAGCCAATTATTTTCAAAAACCTTATCAGAGGAAACGTGATAAAGCTCATTCGAGTGATCTATGTCTTAGCATGCGTAAATCTTTGAATTTGTCGCAATTTCCCAATCTTTCCCCAATTGTTTTCTATTCAGTCAACTTCTTTTTAGGCTATGGTTATAGCTTCTGGAAACCCTAGAGTTCATTAAATAAAACCATCATTGTTTTATATTGTTTGAATACCCTTTTACATAACAATCGTGCGATCGTATCGAGGCGACATGTTTAGTTTTGCATGTTGACATTTTTGAAGCTCGCACTATTGTTTGTATCCAGATCTCGTACTTGTACTTAGTAGCAAACTAATTTCCTTAGGTAGGCTAGCTACATATTTCTCCCTATCGAAATATCGCTGTATACTGCGCTGAAAAATGAAAATTGTTGCTGGCTCGTACTCGACTCCATTTTGCTTTCATCGTGCCGGTTATTCAAATTTATTTCGCGATTTTTAATTTTTTTCTTTTTTTTATGATTTTCCAGTCTCCTACTTTGCTTATTTCTTATTCATCTTACTTTATTGTTTATTTATTAATTTTTTCCCCTTCATAAAAGCGTTACATTTGATTGATCTGCTATCAGCCTAGACCTCAGGGACGCAGTTTCTACTGCGTTCAAGTTAACAAGAAAAGCTGCCTGCACCGAAAATTGTTTTTAAAGTTTCGAAACCATGAAACGCGATCCAGTGTATGCATAGAGGTCACAAACTAATGGAAGAGTATTTAGTCAATTTTTTTAACGATATTTAACCACTGGTGTAAGAGAAGATGTTCCATTTCATCATTACGTTCCATCGACCGTTAATTGAAGTCTAGATATAGTTCTTCCTAAACAACATATGCTTTGAATATGTTTGCTTGACTGCCGTGCTTTCCATCATAACCCCGATATTGCATAATCAACCGAAAACTGAGTTTTTATAATGATAAAAAAAATGCGTTCAAATTTTTCGGCAGAAGTTCTCAGGCCGGTTTTACACGCTTTGATGAGTGTTTAATTTTGTAAAAATGTAAATATTTGGGCACGGAAAGATCGCTGGGAAATGGACTCCATCTCTAAAATGAAATCTATCCATAGTTTAAAGAGATTGGAGCGCTCTTTCTTTTAAAAAGAATTTGTGGATCCAATCGAACCGTGAAGAATTTTCATATTCAAACCTGAGATTTTTTAGCAAGGGCTTAATCCAAAGTAAATCTGAAGAGCAGTTATACTGAAACTAACCTTGTGATGTGACAGCCGAAGGTATTATGAAAAAAATTTCCAACACGAAAAGACGGATACAAACAAAATACATGGCCCTGAACGCAGCCATGAAAATTAAAGTTCCATGTTGTTATGCTCTGAAAACGGAGCTCTCACAGCACTCACACTTTTTGACCCGCTAATGATCTTCACTTGCAGCTAATATATAATATTTTTCCATACCAAGAGAATTTTGCGATTCAGCTGTTACACGCACCACATCATGTTGCTAATTCTATTTACTTGTAAACCAGTGCCTGCGATATTTTTATGTATGACTAAGCCTTCCCTTATTCATGCAAAGGGCTGATCATTCTTTTATTTGGGTCAGTGTAGTGAACCCTGCTCGTTTGTGGCAATAAAGTAATATATCATTGTCGTTTGTTTTCACAAGCTATTAAAAAACTAACAGCTACCAGTCGGCTAGCAGTTGCCTTCATTCTAAAGTTATTCCCAAGGGTTTTCGCTCCAAATTTTTATGCATCTTCATTCACCAAACAATACCATCACCAAATTCAGTGCGCCCAAAATTCTTTTTCACGTAACATCATGATAATTACCATTAGAGCTATGTGCCAAAAACGTAATCACCTCACCGAACAAATCCTACATTGCCGCTCTGAACTTTCCAAAATCTGTCCAGCAGTTTTATTACAATCTATCCGCGCCAAAATTCAGGAAACTAATTCGAAACTTTTCAATCATTTGAACCAAATTAAGGCCCAAAAACTTGACCAACTTATCGGTCCCCAAATCGCTAACCACTCATCACCAGAAAACCTCAAAACTGTAGTTACCATTCCAGAAAACCTCTCACTTTCCGATTCAGAAAAATCCGTCCTTATTAAGGGCTTAAATTTCGTCCCCATTTCTAAAACAAGGGAGGAATTCTCAATTAAACAAGACGTAGAAAAATTCCTTCGCTGCGTTCACTTA